ACTAAACAGGGTAATTGTCAAATCACTTATAAATAAGTCTGTGAACCTGAATGAAACCGATGATTTCATCAGTAAATACAAATGACACATATAGGCCAAGAATAAGTGTGTATGAAAATGTGGATTAATAAGAATAAGTATTACCAAACTCCCTTCAGAAAATGGGGGAGAGGGCTGGGGATTTAGCTCAGTGGCACTGTGCCTGCCTTGCAAGTGCAAGGACCTGAGTTTGATCCCCAGTACCAACAAAACAAAATAGAAAAATGGGGAGAAGGGACTCCGCACTTGGGCAGCACATATACAGGGGGAAAAGGGGGGGCAAAACTGACAGTTTCACGGGTTATTTCTCTCAAACCTTCAAAGGAATATACAATTCTAACTTATTTAAGCTTTTGCAGAAAATACAGAATTGGAGAAATGTCCATAATTCTTTTTGTGAAGTGGACATAATATTTTGAGATGATTATTGCCAAAGCTCTTAACAAAATTCACTACCTTGATAGTACAAAGGAGAAAAAAAACAATCTCCATAGATAAGGAAAAAGCATCTGACACTTCGCTGCTGTTATTTTTTAAATGCTTGTGGGAAGGAGGATTAAAAATGGCAGAGTAGAGACAGCCCGCAAAATACAACCTCTCTGGGATCCAGCTTATCTGGGACCTGAAATCGAGAAACCTGGAAAACAACAACTTGGTGAAAAGAAAAAGAAGTTGACCTCTGGAAATCAGGAGGGAGGCAACAAGAAAACTAGAAATGACAAAGCACAACTCAGAGAAAAGAAGGAAGCGGTCTGGAAAGCTGACCTGGCTCCCAGGAAGGGGCCCTGTCTCTCTTACTCAGGTGAGCCTGGAGAGGGTGGGCTCTCCAGGGAGAAACAACAGACCAGACCAGCAGCGCTAGCCCCAAGAAAAGCCCACAGCTATGGTAAACTGCAAAAACACCTCAGGGGTTTTACGCTGAAAGTAACTCCTTTCACATGGCAGGCTAGAGTTGTTGAAGGAATCCAGTGTGGAGTTAACCATATTAAAGAGGGTTTAATCAGGAGCCATTTGGGGAAAAGGTTAACTGGTTAAGACTGAGCCACAGAGCACCAGAGAGCAACCATAGTGCCTGGGTGGGAAAGAGCCACAAAAGATAGTTGTGGAGAGGACACAGGCTAGACATAGACTTCCCGAGAAGTTTAAGCTCAGGCCAAGAAGGCCACAGAGGTCCCACACTCTGAGAGCTGAGAAGCCACATCTGTCATGAGTGGCTTTTGGCGGGGCCTGGGGCTGGCAGTGCTGGCCTTAAGCCCAGTTGACGCTTGACCCTCCCTGGCCCCCTGCCTACATCCGACACAGAGCTCAGCAGTTCGTTTGCTTCACCCATCTACCAATATGATCAGGGATATGCTTCAGCTTGGATGGTTGTCATGGCCTGGGGTACACAGATGGAGGGGCCTCTGGGGCTGGGGTGAGGAGGGCTCCTAAACCCACAGGCCATAAAGCTAGGCAGAGAAAGCTGTGACTTGGGATACACTGAGAGACACAGAGACTGAGAGCTGCTGGAATGACTACAGCCCTAGGGTGGGCACGATTGATTAACCTCACCCAACAGGAAATACAGGGAGGTTTCAGTATTCACACACAAAAATATGAGTTTGAAAACCAACTAGATCTAGTAGTAACTCAGTATCTCTTACCCATATCTGGTGGATTCCAACATTGCAGACAAGAAAACACTCGTTCAAAAACCACAGAGGAATTGTTTTTGGACTTATTTCTTTTTTTTATTTTTCATATTTTGTTGGGGGTGTTTTTGAGATTTGGGTTTTAAATTTTTTTTCTTTATTTGCTTTCTGTTTTCTTTTACTTCTTTTTCTTGTTTGCACTTTTCTATTACTTTTATCTGACTATATCCTTTTAGTCTTTAATAGAATCCTTTATCTAATTTTTTCTCACCTTCCTTTTCTTTATTTTTCAAATTTTACTTCTTTCATTTTCCTCTTCTCCATACCCTCCATTTTATGACTAAGCTTTATTGATCTTTAGCTACTTAGTTGACTCTGCTATTATTGTTAAATTCTTTTCAATTGTTAGTGATGGTATATTAAGTAAATATTTATTTATGTCAATCTTTGGTTTGTTTTGTGTCTATATTATAATCACAATTATTACAATAATTAAATAATATTATAATTATAATTTCTACTGTCAAGAGTGGCACAGTGGTAGGTTTTACTGGTCCTTATGGTATTTCAATATCCAGTTTATCTCTGACTCTCTTATTGTTACAGATTTTGTTGCTATCACCAGGGTGGCATGGCTGTTGCTATTAATTTTTTTTTTACTGTATGCCAATATCTAGTTTGTGTTGTGTCATCAACAATACTGAGGTTCATTTCCAGAGAATTGAGTGCTGGGCTAATTACACTGCACCCTCCATCCCCAAATTAACTAAGTGGATCAGATGTCGGGGCAGAGGTAAAGGCCTTTAGTTAGCCATGGCCACAGTGCATCCCTGGAAAGCAGACCCTAATTAAAGAGATCTCCATACTAGCAACAGAGTCTTTCCATGATAATCAACCCTCAAAGCTCAGCACACACACACACACACACACACACACACACACACACACACTAAAAACATGAGAAAACAGGGCAACAAAATGCCTCCAAAAACTTCCAATTCCCCCAGAGCTGATCTATGGGATTGATGGGGAGGAAATCAAAAGCCAAAAACTGATGAAAAAAGCAGAATAATAAAGTGTTTGGCAAACTGAAAGATGATATAACTAAATAGATCATGCACTTAATAAAACAATCTGTGAGCTTACAGAAGACATGAATAAAAAGCTAGCTGAGCTAAACAAAATGATACAAAACACAAATGATCACTTTATCAAAGAATTAGAGCTCATGAAAGATTCCAAAAAGAAATCCAGGAGATTAAAAAAAATATTATATTGAAAGTGTAGGCAGCAGAAGTGACCAGTCTGAGGATAGAGTATCAGAATTAGAAGGTAGGACTGATGCGGGAGGCTATATACTCAGATCCCTTAAAAACAAGAGAACATGGAAAATGGATCCAACAACTCCTAGATGATACAAAGAAGACTAATCTAAGATTAATTTGAATTAGTAAAAATTCAGAAGGCAGCACAAATGGCATAAAAAACCTGTTTACAGAAATAAGAGCTGGTAACTTTCCAAGCATAGAGAAAGAATTTAACATACAAATAAGCAAGGAATACAGAGCTCCAAACAGCCACCATCAGGAAAGAACTTCTCCACAACATGTCATACTCAAAATCCCAGAAGTCCAACACAAGGACAGAATCCTAACAGCTACCAGAGAAAAGTAACAAATCACTTATTAAGATAAATCCAGAAGTAAGAATAAACCATAGGACCATCTCAATAGATGCAGAAAAAACCTTTGACATCCATTCATGATTTTAAAAGACCTGAAGAAAATAGGTATAGCAGGACCTTATCTCAATCTGATAAGCCATTTATGACAAACCTACTGCCAACATCATATTAAATGAGAAAGAGCTGAAAGTTTTCCCTTGAAAATCAGAAGCAAGATAAAAATGTCCACTATTACCACTTCCATTTATTACAGTACTTAAAACACTAGGCAAACCAATTAGGCAAGAGAAATAAATAAAAGAGGTAGGAAAAGAAGTCAAATTGCCATTATTTGTAGATACATGGTTCTTTACATAGAAGATCAAAGACTCCAAAGTCAGTAATGTAGCAGGATACAAAATCAACACACAAAAATCAATAGCATTCCTGTACATCAATAATGTACTCACCCCTCCCAAAATTAAGAAAGTAATATCATTCACAATAGCATTGAGAAAAATTAAATACCTAGGAATTAACCTCTACAAAGAAGTGAAAGACCTCTAGAACAAAAGCTACAGTACTCTGAAAAAGGGGATCAAAGGGGACATCAGAAAATGGAAAGATGTTCCCTGTTCCTGCATAGGCAGAACCAATAGTATCAAAATGACCATACTTCCAAAACTAATATATAGATTTAATGTAATCCGAGTCCAGATACCATTAGCATCCCTCACAGATCTAGAGAAAACAATCCTAAAAGTCATATGGAACTAGAATAGCAAAAGCTATCCTGGGCAACAAGAGCAAAGCAGGAGGCAACACAATCCCAGATTTCAAGTTATATTACAGAGCTACAGTGATTAAAAACAGCATAGTACTGGGCCGGGGATTTAGCTCAGTGGTTTTGCCGCCTGCTGCGCAAGCACCAGGGCCTGAGTTTGATCCCGGGTACCAAAAAAACCCCAAAACAAAACAGCATAGTACTGGCACCAAAACAGACATATAGATCAATGTAATGGAACAGAGGCTGCAGAAACAACCCCAGGCACATTCAGCTATTTGATCTTTGACAAAGTGGCCAAAAATAAACACTAGAGGAAAGATAGCTCTACACATGTAGAAGATTCAATCCAGACCAGTATTCCTTATCATGTACCAAAATAAAATAAAATGGATCAAAGAGCTAAGTATAAAAAGAATGAAGCTGTGCTATGTGCATGTACCAACTCCCTGGGATGAATGTAATCATTATGTACTACAAACATATAGTAAAAAAATAAAAAGTTTAAAATGCTCATAGGGCCTGGGTGGCCCTCAGTGGTGGAGCACTTGTCTGACACACACAAGGCCCTGAGTTAGGTTCGATCAGCCAATCAGCCAGTCAGTCAATCAGTGACACAGGTGGGCAGTTTCTTCATTCGGACTGGGACACCCCGGCCTCCCTCCCCAGGCAAGGGCAGGGCAGGGAGGGTGAGCGCCACACAGCATTCTGCCTGTACCAACCCACGGATCAAAGAGGAAGGAGAACCAGGTTCGGGAAGGAATTGCAGGGCCGGGATGTGGCTCAGTGGTAGAGCATGTGCCTAACATGCCAGGCCCTGAGCTCGATTTCCAGCACAGCAGAACAAAAATAAAAATACTCAGAGACAGTGGTAATGGGAGAGTGACCAGCTTCCAGAGTAATAGACAAAGCAGCACTTTCCCATAGATAGAGTCGGCAAATATAAAGAAAGCATGTAGTTTATAAGAAAAAGCAACCAAAAAGATTAAAAATGTCCTGGCACCACAGAACAAATAAAACAAAATGGGATTTCCTAGGACTAAGGCCAGTGAGGCTGCCGACCTGAGGCAGCTGTGCATGCTGTTGGGACACAGGTAAACCCACAGCTTCCCTCCCCCCTCTCCCCACTGCCCGCCCCTCCTCCGACCCTGGTCCTCCAGGCAGGGCTCCTGTGGCTCAGCTCTAGCCCCACACTGCCTGGCTAAACCCCTATGGCCTTGAGACCGAGACCTTCTCCACCCTTTCTCTGCCCCCAAACTGGCAAACCCGGAGATTCCTCCCCCACGCAGACTCCTCGAGTGCACTCAGGGCAGCTACTCTGCACCCACTCTGGTACATCGGGCCTCTTACTCTCCTTTCTGGCACAATTCCTCCGAAAACCTCCCTCAGTGCCCCTCCTGCACGGCCACCCTCTGCCCCACGCACGCTGTGGCGGTGCAGGGTCAGGTGGGTGCAGAGGAGGGAGCCCCCACCCCCTCTGAAGTCAGGCTGGCCCTGTGGTGGACTGGGCCACTCTGCTCTGCGCTCTGCAAGGACCAGGGAGGCTCCCGTAGCCCCGCCCGCAGTCTCAGTCCCATCTTCCTTCCTGCAGACCCTCCCTGGGGACAGCTCCTCACCTGGGAGCCAGAGAAGCAGCAGAGCCCAAGGCAGCCCCCGGCCAGGGGACATCTTGCCCACAGAGGGCACCTGCAGCCTCGAAGAGCTGGACCCCAGGCTGCAGCCCTGCCGGTGGAGAGTCAGTGTCCACGGCTCCCACTTCTGCTTTCTTCGGCCCTTGCTGTTTCCTTGTTCAGCTTCTTTTGGTTCTGTTCCTAGAGCTGGAAAGAAAATGGAGGAAGCTGAGCGAGCCAAGCTGCCAGTGTCCGTTGAGCTCCCGGAGCTCCACGGGAACCACCCTATGTAACCCAGTTGAGTGGGCAGGGCCTGTGGCATTCTCCTTTGGTGAGACTTCCCTCCCAGCCCCCTGAAACCCACAGAGCTCTCCCCACCCACACACCCGGGCACAGGTCAGGTTCTCTTCTGCCTGTGGCCCTGTCACTCTCCCTGTATCCTTCTGGTCAGGATGGCAACCCTGTGGAGAAGGGGAAGAGATCTCCCATCCTGCCCCTGGGTAGTATTCACCATGGGCCTCAGCCCTAGGCCTGGAGCCCTGAGTTGGCACAACCGTCCCAGAGTTCCTGACTGGTTCCTGGTCTGGACCTGTGTCCTCAGTTTGACCAAGAGGTCCTCATGCTGTGACCTTCCTTCCTGTGTGGCCCCAGCGGACCTGAGCAAGGACCCTTTGTTGCCCTGTGCACACAGACTCCACACGCACACGCACACACACCCCCATGATGGGTGCCCCCAGCTTGCATGGATTGCTACGTAGCACAGGAAGCTCTGGTCCTAACATGCCACACAGCACCCAACAGCTTGCAAGGCAATGAGCATCCACCACAAGGCACTCTGTCCCATGATGAGACCCCAAGAATGCCCATCCCTGCTGCTCCTGGGATTCTTACTTTCCTCCTTCCTCCTGGCCACAACAGTACCCTGCCCGGGTAAGACTCACTCTTCTGTTCTCAAGAACAGAACCTGGCAGACCTTGGAGAAGTTTCCATGACAGTGGGCATGGTAGTACACACCTGTGGTCCCCGACACTTAGGAGACTGAGGCAGGAAGATCATTTGAGCTCAGGAGTTCAAGGCTAGTCTGGGCAACAGCGAGAGACCTTGACTCATAAAAAAGAAAAGATTCTATGACACATATTGTCATGCTAGATGAACTAAAACTCAGTACGGTCCAAGAAGATCTGGATATTGACTTTGCTAAGCTGAACATGAAGATGGGGAATGTCATAGCCAGTGGTTTTCACGTCCTGACCACAGTAAAGTTCCCAGAAATGTGTATTTTTTCAATGCACTCACGATCCATGTTGCTGTGGCTTGATGCTGAGCTACACCAAGAAGCAGGAGGCCACGTTCTCTTGCAGCTTGTCCGCTTGCCACCAAGCGGCTGTGAGCAAAACCTGTGGCTTTGTAAAGGTCAATAATAGCAGCTCGGCGGTGGGAGTAAGTAGAGCAATGATCGTGAAAACCCTCAAATGTGAGTGTCATTAACATCTCAGGGCGGTAGGGGGCGACATCTCTAATGAGAGGCAGGAGGGAAATTGGGCTCTATAGGAAGGAGGGTGCTTTGCAGATCATTCCTGTCATGGTGTCCCACCTTCTGGCTTGCCTGGGCTGTACTGAGTGAAGAGGAATTGTCTGGGCCCACATGTAAAATATATAATATGAGGTAAACGAGTAACAGGACTTCCTTCATTTTTATATCTTATTAAATGATTTCACAAGAAAATGCATATGTCTGCTTAATAACAATAAACACCTGCCTTCACAGGCACACACAAGTGGGTAGATGGAAACAGTATGAACAGTCACTGCTGTGTTTGATTTGCCAAGTTATCCAAGCACATCTGATATAGGTGAGTTTTTTATTCCACGGACTGTGGCAGGTGCTAGAGGGGGAAGTAGCACTGCCCTGCACTTCTCCTCTCCACGGTGTTCCCTTGTCACCTACACAGTCTGTCCTTAAGTATGACAACTGAGTCAAAAAACATTGCTGCACATCACATAATGTGAAGCTGGGGGTGGTGATATATGCCTATAATCCCAGCACTCAGGAGGCTGAGGCAGGAGGATTGCAATTTTAAGGCTAACCTGAGCTACATAGCAAGACCCCGTCTCAAAAAAACAAAACAAAACAACAACAACAAGAAAAGAAAATCACGAAATGTGTCAAGTTTAAAGTCTGGTAGGGCTGTATTTCTAGTTGTCCAAGTCCCTGTGCAGCCTTAGACACACCTGATCTATGGGGTGTGATTCTCCTTAGAAATAGGGAGGAACATCAGAATGACTACAAAGAGGAACGGGTCCTGGAGTGGATTCTTGCCACTGACCTGTCCACAAACTCAGAGAAAGACCAAAAAAAAAAAAAAAAGATGCTGAATGACCAATTCCAGCAAACTAAGGAAGTAACACTTTCCCACAGCTCTCTGAAGCCCGTCCCTGGACTTGATGGGGGGCTGGAGACAAACCTGAGGGCCTCAAGGCTGAGCCCCTTGCCGGGGATGGGGGTGATATGTCCTGCAGCAGCCCCCAAACCCCTGACCCAGCTGGAGCCTCTTCCCAGTGTGGACACACAGGCTGGGGGCCAGTGGCCCAGGGTGTTGGTGGTCATGGATGGGGTCCTGCTGGGGACGAAGGCCGAGGGGCTCTCGGGTAGGACTTTGACCCCATGGGTGTGGCTGCATTGCGGCCAAAAGCGACTCTGGGCTCTGAGAAGCAGAAGGCAGCTGAGTGTGATTGTGGCCCCTGTGGCAGGAAGAAGAGCTTCACACCTGAGCAGGTGTGCGAGGGAGGGAAGTGGAGCGCAGCTGACCACCACTGAGCAACCGCCTGGCCACATGCTGTGGCTGAGTACACACAGCTGGCTGGATAACTCAGGCCCCAGAGACATCTGCAAGACAAGTTGCCAGGATGTAGCTCAGTGGCACCTCACCTGCCTGGGAAGCAAAAAGTCCTGAGTTTGATCCCCGGTACTAACAAATTAAAAAATTAAAAAAACAAGCCACCAAGGGCGGGGCAGTGGGTGCCTACTGACTGGGAGGTTCTGGGTTTCCTTCCCAGGAGAGGATTCCATCAGCTGCAGTGGCCCAGCCCTCTGCTCTGGCCTCCCACACCCACCCTCCTGCCCATCTCTGAGGGATCCACCTGAGCCTGAGGGGTCCTGGAGGGGCCCCTTGAACCTATGTTCCTCACTCCCCAGGCCACAGTCCATACCAGCTGGTCACAATGGCCATAATGTGTCCCCTTCTGGTGCTGGGGTGCTGCAGTCAGGATGAACAGAGGGAAAGAGGAAGCTGCAGGCTAGCAGATGGCTGGCAGTCACAATCACAGGCCTTGACATAGTCATGACGTAGTCAGACACCACATAGGAATGGAGGACAAGTAAACTCCTGGGCCCTTAACCTGTTACTCATTAAAAGCACAATTGCATTTTCTTTGAAAGAGTCAGAGACTTAACTTGGTTTTACCCTAACTTTTCTCTTGGGCCTAGCAGATTATAATAGGTAACTACAAGTAGAACAAAGTCTACCTTCATTTGGTGTCCTTAATTATCGCGTCAAAACTTGGGTACAGGCATGTTAATCATTCAGGAAAAGTTGTAGAGACCAGGTTCACCAGCCCTAAACTTAGGGAGTGTATCTCATCCCCCTTCAAGACGGAGGGCCCCAAGACAAGGGTGACCGAAGTAATTCTCAGGATGTGCAGGGGCAGCCATGGCCAGCTTTCAGTGTCTGGCTCTGACCCCTTTCCAGAGCATTGCCTCGAACACTCCAGCCACTGTCTACTCCTTCGGTCACCTGGGCCCCTGGAAAAGCACAGTCTCACATGACTGAGACTGCTGCTAACAAAGACAACCATTTCATGAAAACCAGACCACCCCTCAAGCCAGCAGGATTCCTCTAGGACCGAGACGATGATCCACCAGACTCCAGCCCAATAGCACCCCAACCGGGCTCTGTTCTTTGTGAGCAGGCAGGTCTGATCCCCCTCTTCCGACCTGAGCCCCTTTCTCAAATTGAAGCCCTTCTCCTATGTTCTTTTACTTTCCTTTGTTAAGGGACTGGCTTCATCTTTGTCAGAGCTGTGCCTCCCCACCCCCGCCCTGCATACTTCATTTTCTCTTATTTTCCAGGAAGACATTTGCCTGTAATTCATACTGCGGCTTTAGTTTTCATTTTCATTCTCACTAAAGCAAGGACCTATGCCAACTGAGGACAGCCTACCTTCCTGCCCAGGGGGTCGCAACTCCACCTAGGCCCTGTCCTTCTCCTGCTTGGGAGAGAGTAGCCAGGATGATGACCCCAGGATGGTGTCCCCATAGGCTGCCTGTGGCATGGACCAGGGCCCCTGGGTGGGATCAGGGAAGGACCACACACCTAAGGCCTGCTGCTGGCTCCTCTGGAAAGAGGGCCCTGGGGCTTCCCCTTGTCACAGAGGACTCATCTTCAGTCCTCTAGGTCCCTACTGAGTCCCTCAAGGGTCAGGAAGATGCCCTGTCTCCTCCAGGCCCCTCGGAGCCCCTTCCCACATCTCTGTTCCCCACAGCATGCCCTCCTGACAAGGACAGCAGAGACAGCATGGTGCCCGCAGCCTCGGGCTCCTGGCTGAATTGGAGAGAGGGTTCCCAGAGGCCACAGGACTTCACTAAACTGGGCCACAGTTACAGAGGAGCCTCGTGGTCCCTGGCCCAGGGAGAAGGAAGAGAGAACTGAAATGGTGCAAGCCTGTGAAGCCCATCTTGACGAGCACCTGAAGTGGTGCACTTCGTCTTCATCACTCTAGATCTCAGCAGAAAACAGGTTCAGGCAGAGAGAGGCGGTCTGCATACCTGTAGGAGGAGGTTATGGCTGCATCAAGCTGCTGACCGCTCCCCTCTCCCACACACACATCCCAGGGACCCACGAGAATGGCAGTGTTGGGGAGGCACCTCTCCCAGCCCACGCGTCGCTTCTGAGTCACAGGTAGCAGTTAGGGACCAGGGGTGGGAGGCAGGTGAGGGCTCCCCACCAAAGGAAGGCCCCTTCCTGCACTGTGACAGTGGGCATGACAGCAGGCGAGGTCAGAGCCCTGAGGTGTGGGTGCGTGCTCGCTCTTGGTTTTCTCATCTGTGCGATGGGAACATGCGCCTCACAGTGCCGGGGGACCTAGGAGGTCCTCAATGGGAGTGCACCATGCAGCAGGTAAAGCTGTCTGTCCTAA